CAATTTCCAAACGGATTTTCCGAAAAATTACTTTCAACCGAAATTTCGGGATTTTTGGCTAAATTATGACTTTCACCATCATGATATCTTTGTTTCAGACAACAAACAAAGCTTTTTGGGTCCACGAGTTACCATATTTCTTACCTATGGTGCTCCGCTTGCTCGCCTCGGGCGCGCAGGAGCTCCGCTATAATATTTATGGAAATCAGCAATTGGCAGTATTCAATTAGAGATAAACCTTTTATGACATAAATCTGTTCCGCAATGTAAGTCGGCTGTAAAGCCGCTCCTACTAACAGGTCTGTTCTCGCCAAACAGGCCAGCAGAATGTTATATTTGCCTTGCAATCTAGGTCTCGCCATTATCGCCAGCACATTCATCAGGATCGTTACAGGAAAGCTTAGGATGTTCAGGATTATTGCTGCCATGGCGAAGGCAATCTTTTCCACGTGGTAGTCCTGCTTCCAAACCATCTCGTTCATGGGACACATTTTAATCAAGGATCCCGCTTTAGATTCGGTTAGGTTCATGGCGAAGTTTTCGAAGTTTGCTTTGCGGTCGTTTGCGATACCCACCTTTTTGACACAGAACGAAATGTTATTTACGAAATATGCCTTACATGGTCACCTCCCGGGAAATTAATTAGAGTGAAAACAATAAACACAACACGTAGTTTCCCGAAGTACCAGCCACTTCATCGAGTAATACTTCATGGAGTATAAACTGACATTTTGTTAAGTAACGCAAAGTACCATCTGGCAAAGCACATCAATCGATGATTTTGTAAAGGACCAAGCTATATTTGTCAAGTTACAAAGTAACATTTCGCAAACTTTCTTTTAATGGGTACCATATTGTCAAACGAACAATCACCACTTCGAAACTACAAATTAAAGTTTGGTCAAGTTCTCTTGAAGTAGCATTTTTTAAGTGGTAAACATTCAAACACAAACAAAACACCGAAAAAAATGTTACTTATTATCATTCGTCATTAAAACTTAGGTTAAAATATAGTTTTTTTCTTTCGTGCTTTAATACTGAAAATGGCAGCTGTCGTTAACTGATTTATTTCAGTTTGAGTTGCTCAGAATAAATCAGTCAAATTCGTTGAGGAATTTAATTCCCAATGTAAGAGAAAAATGTTGTGCTTTAAATAGAGCGCTGTTAGTTGAGAAATTTTAAGGTAATATTTTAAAAAAAGGAACCCTCACGAAGTTCAGATATTATGCGTCAAATCTTTGACACCTTCAAAATTACAGTTCTTTTTATTTTCCTGTCGATTCACGGATATGTAAGCTATTTTGTTTTATTCTCCTGAAAATTTAAAGTGTGCCTAAACAGTAACTCGCCATTTAAAGAAACCGAAAACTCCCTAAATCAATTTCCAAGCAAGTTTTTTATTTTAACGCAATGTTAATAAATTCTTTAAGCTCGATCTCGGATTATCGAGATGATACCAATGTTTTTGTGACAGTTTCTTATTCCTCGTTCAAGTTTGTGCACTTCATTTTAAGCAGCTCCTTGCATGTCTTGCGAAACGTCTTATTTCTATAGCAATATATGATCGGATTGCACAGAGAATTAAGCAAGAAAAAACTTGCTGCAGCCGTCTAGTAGGGTAGACTTACGAGATGAGCGAGATTTACATGCGATGGGCGTATATAAGGGTCTGAGAATATCCCAGGGGGCCTAAATAAAATATCAACAGTCAATGGCAAACTTTTTCCATAGAGCCTAAATAACCTATTAGATGTTTGACGCAAGACCAAGTAGTTATCCAATTTGAGAAATAGTCATGATGCGGCTTTTACGCGAATGAGAGTAGTCAAAGAATAACCGACCTTCAAATGAGATCTTACTATCCAAGTGAAAATAGTTTACTTACTCAAAATACGGACACAGAGTCTGCCTGGCTTTGTGCTTGAAGTTGTCAGTGCATGTACGTGGCGATAGAATAAATGAATAAAACTAATGTAAAGTTTTGTTTGAGTTTTTGTTTTTTCTTCCAGATTGTAAAATCCATAATTCCATAAAGACGGCCTCATACACACTATTCCGGATTTAATTTTAAAACGGTCTATCTACATTGACAACGAATGAAATGTTTTCCGTCAACAGTAAGGTTTTTAGTATCGTTTTCACTGTCAACGCTGAAAATGTTTGTTAAAGTATGCTCACATTACTTGTTGTGAGGTCAGCATTTTCCGTCCACACTAAACACACTGCCGGCTTTTTCAAATTTCCCCACTGTGGAGAACGTTCAGTTCAAAAAACTCCATTTTCGCCTTCTTTAATTCGGATTAGTGTGGACGGGGCCTAAAAGCGAAGAGCAACTAAACAGTAATTTAGGAGTCTTAAAATGTAAGCAAGACGTTACATTACAAGCAGTCGATACAGATCGATCGATGGGCTCTGTCACGGTGCTAGCTGCATTTTATCTCATTAATGTACGAGGATGTTAATTTCTGTTATGCTTGAGCAAACTGAATCAACTAATAGAAAAATTTTATTCGACATGCATAAAAATTGCAGATATAGCCTGTGATAATCATTTCTATACATTTACGAAGCTTCCCCGAAATTCACCGGCCTCAGGTCGAAGCTGTCAGTGCGTAGATGTCGAGTTTTAAACTCGACATATAATTCAAACGAAGCTAATCATGGTGTAGAGGGGCCCATTTCTCGAAAGCCCCGGAAACTTTTCGATTCGGGACCGGAAAGCCATAGCAAAATCCCTTATGATTACAGAGCTGTTTTACACACATATTCTTAATATGAACAGAGGTTCACTTCATACAAGAAGTTTCAGGCGTATACACTTCTCCGTTTTTAGATGCAGATGAACTAAAAATGGCTTTCCGAACCCGAAAAGCTTCCGGGGCTTTCGAGAAACTGGCCCTAGGGGCCCGTTTACGGTACTATCTGGGCATCATTTGCGGTACGGAGATAATTTACGGGCCTGTACAGATCGCGTGACAATCACAATCATTGTACTTTGATCGAGAGATTTGGAAACAATTTCCGCTTTCACATTATTCCGCTTTGCACTGGCGTTGACCACATAATCCTACCACTTTTGTCGTTGGTTTATTTTGGAAGTGAGATCTTGGAGTAAGTGGTGAGTGATTACCTGAAAATTATGTTAAGAGCATAAAACCCATTACTGTTACCGCAGAATGTTGTTGTTTATTCCTGGAGTTGCTCTCATTCAGTGTTCACTAAATCGCTCGTCCAATATATACAGTTTATACTCTTCACCATCGATCACCAACAACCGGTTTCTATGTTTGTTTGTACTTCTGTTTTCCTCATTAAAAGGAAGACATTTTCTTCTATGACTTGAAAATTCAGCACTTGTACTTAGTGGTATGGCTGTTCCAATCAATTCGATGTTCGATTATATTTTTAACATATTAAACTCTATCTTTTTTGACATATTTTTAGGTTATACATTCCTTCTTTACTGTGAAGGATATCAGGGAAGGATTCTTTCAATCAAGAGACGGTAAGGAATATAGACCTCAGTTGTAACAAAAATTCTTAATCGGTTCTAAAATTTGCAGAAGATGTTCCGTTAAATACACTCGTTTGTAGTTACAAGAGATCTAAGCTGGAGCTGTTTTCGCCCACCAAGCTTTGTATAATAACGCGCATTTTGCTTTTTGAGGGTTTCACCTAAGAACTGCGGACAGTAAGTACTGGAACTATTTCAATTATTTTATAAAGGCATTTCTTTCCTTGTCTATAATGGCCATTTTCAGCAGGGTGTTTTGAGATGGGTGGATAGCGGTTGAGCTTACTGAGAATAAGTAATTTTGAACTATACCTCTTTGATACGCGCGTGATGTTACCAGGAAAAAACTTGCTGTTCATGTGATCCGGTTACGAAACAAACGTCATTGATATGTTGTGAATTGGAGGTAGACTCTGGGAAACAAAAGTGAAAGGTAAATTCCCCGAATGAATAGTTTTACGAAGCGAATTGTCACTGTCATCGTCATGGTCATTTAACAATTGGTTCATGCGTCAGCGTGCGTTCATAGAGATATGAAGCACGCGGGAAATTTGCAGAGCACGAAAGATGCGTAAGAGTTGCTCGAGGCATAGCCAAGAGCAAGTCTAGCTTCTTGAGTGCTCTCCAAACTTCCAGGGTTTTTCATATCTGTATGAACGCACAGCTGACGCATGAACCAATTGTTTTATAACATTTTCAAGGCGGTAGTTTAACGCGGTCGGTCCTCCGCGTGTTCAATGGGAATATCAGTGAATCGCGAATTTGATGACACGAATTTACTAGCTATGTTATAATGTACTTTGATCGAAAGATCCAGAAATGAGTTCCGCTTTCAGCTCTGCTTTCCACCGATCTCATCGCGAGTTCAGGGTCTAGTTCTGCCATTTTTTTTAGAACTGTGATACTACTCATGACTGATCATGTTTTTTTATACAGCTGCGTGTCGTTTCCTCGTGTGTGTAAAGTAGTGATGTTAGGACTTGCTTGTTTTCTTAATGGTCTCTAAAAATTGCTTCTGGTTAGTTGGAAATAATGCTTTGGTAAGATTTGGTTCCTATCTCTCTTGATCGATCGCTTCCCAGTTCATGATCGCTCATAGAACCAAGTACATTATTGTCGATCAGAGTTCTTCAGTGGCCATCGATTCAGAGAATCAGTCGGGATGACGCGAATCCTAACTTTTTGTCGATGGAATGACATTGTGTTCAATTAACTTTGAAAATTCTTCACTGAGGACTTTTTTGGAAGAGCAGTGTTTTAAAGAAAGAGCCATAAATAGACCTTTTTACGGATACAGCGACCATCTTGAATTCTACTGTTTTGAGAAAGATATTACATTGTATTATGGGAAGCCAAGGGGGCAAATTCACATATTTTGTCAGTATGAATTTGGGTTTCGTCCAAATTTGTTTAAAAGCTTATTTATTTTTTATTTTCCTTCATCTCAGAGTGCTTATAACCTGATACAAAAGGTGTAAAAAAAATCAAACCGGTTCGAAAATTTCAGACATTTCAAGAAAGTTTCGAATTCAGCACGTTCCACGACTCTGAACTGTTGTGTTGTTCGTGTAAAACTTACGCGGTATAACAGCGAGACAGACAGGACAGGAACAAAATGAAATCTGCAAAATACAAGGTCAAGTCATGACACTTCAAATGCCTTTTTTCTATAACAGAAAATCTTTAAAAAAAATCCCACCAATTTCTCAAGTACGCACGTGCGTATTTGCGTAAAGGACGCCTCGCCCCTGATATAAAGGTCTATAGAGCTCTGTTTATGTATTTAAAAATTACTTGATTATAAAAATGCCAGGTCAGTTGGCTGAGTTGATTACTTTCACGTATTGTGATTAGGTGATATATTTCTATGTTGAAACAATGCTATTAAAGGACATGAAAGTGTTGCTTTTTCTGACGAGTGGTAACTTCAACTGTTTCGTAACTTCAACTTAATTCATTTAAAGGAATTTTCAAGTGAAAGACGAAATTTTCAAATGCACACTTGCTTTTATTTGACACAGGTCGAAACAAAGCTCTGAAACCGCAGAAACGGATTTCGCGTGGACCATCGTTTCATGCGCATTGACCAACGTTTTGACGTAAAGGCTAGTCTACACTGAATAGAGTGTCGCTGTGTCCCCTCAAGCTAAAATTGTATTTATCCACTAACATTATGGCATTTTTCTGTTAAAGGGTTAAAAGCAATTAGCTTGCACGAGGGACAATAGCGCTAATTTTAGACTTGAAACTATCGCATAAAACCATCGCATAAAATTACTTTACTCTGCCTTGAGCCTGGCCTTGAGAATGGTGTCACGATGACGCCGAAACGTCGGCTTTTAAATGAATTTTGGCTCGTTTATGCTTTAGAAATCGTCATTGGTCCAATTTTAGAAAGTGAATGATGAAACATTATTGAACTCGGTTTTCGAAAAATATCGAGATTTATTCGTGGCTCACAGATAAATCACGCCACAGATAAATGACGTGCAATAAATGTGCACTATCCACGTAGTTTGAAATTTCAGTCGTTCACAATAACATCTTCTCGATCTTCTTGTCTCTCCCGCTGATTTACGAATGAACAGCATGAAAAAATCTTTGTTGCTATACATGAATAGTGATCAATTTGCATTTCTCTGTTAACACGTTAAAAGCAATTTAGCTTGCACGCGGAAAAATAACGTGCAATAAACAAACAATCCATCAGACTTTCTCATTCCCGAAATGTGTGAGGCCAAAGCGAACGAATAGGCCTTAAAGCTCGTTTTCCGCTTCATTAGAGTGCCCATGACATGAAATCAAAATTTTTATTTTTCCATTCGAAATTTCATATTAATTAAATCAACTTCTGCGAAAGAATTTTTCGATTTGAACAAAACGGAAAGTTTCTATGAATTTGTTTAACCCCGGCCATGAAGACCATTTCTATTTGACACACCCTTTGCGCTCATCAGTACAATATTGGCTCGCAGTGACGTAATTCAGGAACGCCTATTACCGTGTTTTATTTGTTTATTGTTAAGTCCAACACAAAGGCACCTTTCAGTCTTTCTTTTCCTTGACTTAATTGCCTCCAACGAAATTTCTCTGGGATTTGAAAGCGCTTTTAAAATCACGTTTTCCTTAATCTACGTCAAAAGTTCCTCAATTAACGTCATAATTGAATAGAATCTGAGAGCAGACAAAGACAAGTGCTGTTTCAAAATGGCGGACGATCTGAGCAAGTTAAAAATAAAATACAGTCCAGGACTGCATTTGGCTACTGCTTAGCTTTATTTTGGTATAATATAGGTGATTTGCACGATTTTTTTGTCTTGCTAATTCTCGCAATTGTTATTTAAACCCCACCGTGGTTTAAAAATTTGAACAATAAAGGAAAATTCTGGTAGTTGTGGTAAAATAGACAGCTGTTGTCAATGTCAATTTTTTTATCGAAAATAACTTGAATACAACGTAAAAAGAACAGACTATTTTACGTGAAATGTGCACGACGTTGAGCTATCGACATTTAAAAACAATTTATAGAGACAGTGAAAAAGTGCTCTAGCTGTTTTGCCTGCCATCATGGTGTCTTTGCTAAGGCTTGTCTCTAACAATGGAAAGATGGACATAAAGTCCTTGTAAAAAGTGAATTTGGTGATGAAGACTGGTACAACGTGAAATTAATGGCAAAAATCATTATTGTAGCAGGGAAATATTTGAAAACAGACGGGATGCTGAACATGAGTGGATACCGAACACTTCCAAAAGGATGTATAATCAATAAGATCAAACCCTTTAGAGAAGTCAGCAAAGAATATTCTTGCAGCGCATTCC